ATTATATATTCTTCTTTTCTGTGTTATTCTTTATCAGTTTTAAGTTGTATATCCTGACATTAGTAAGTGAACATGACATGAACTTGGCATTTATTCCACAGTCTTTTACATTAAAGCTAGTTGTGGAGTGTTTCCTGGTCATGGTCGACTGTAATCAACAGTGGCAGCATGTTCTGAGCACATTCTATTAAAAAACACACAAGCGGGAAAAAAATTACATAGGAAAGGCCAGCATTGTTTGTTTTTTTTTTTTGCTTTGCTTTTTGCTTTGCTTTGTTGTGGTCTCTTATTTTTTCCCCTAATCTCTCTGTCTCCTTTTAGGACTCACAGCCCTTTGATGAGCTTCGGAGCAAGCTTCGTCAGTTTCCTGGTGAGATCCGCCTTAAGAAGCGCCACTCCAGCAGTCAGATGAAGCCAGAGACAAATGTAGAAGAAAAGTCAGAATCAATGTTAGATGTGAGACCAGAGAAATCTGTCAAACAGCTGAGCTCACATTGTCACCACTGATATCCTCCTTTTTTCCTCCCCATTTATAACCATTAACATAATGGATGCATCCTCAGGTCAAGAAATGCATTACTGAGGGGGAGAGTAGATGACTGAAAGCCAGTGTCTGTCAGTGTTGATTGAGGGAGATGATTCATAACATGATGTGCTGCTCACACGCATATAAGAACTCTCTCTGCCATACCCCTTAATGTGACCCCTAACATAAAACGAAGGCCAGGATGATGTCACTGCTTTCACTTAATGCTAAAAGCACCGGGCTGTTGGGACGGCAAATCTGACTGTCACATAACCAACCATTTAAAGGGAAATTATATCATGTGACATGCTGCCTCCCCCTTCTTTTCTTCATGCATGACATTCTGAAAGCAGAGTCCAGTTAAAAACACATCATCACCTTTCTGCTTCTTTCAAGTTATTTCATACATCTTTTTTAAATTAAATAACCATGTGATATTTAAACAAATAAGAATATCCTCTACAACTACTGTAGCTTAGTGCTTCTTCTATGTGACATATAAATGAAATATAATATCATGCTACACCCTGCAGACAATCTGTCTTAATGAAGATTCTATCATCTTGGCAGAAAATTTGTGATTTAATTATTTAACCACTTGGGAATTATGTTAAATAAACAAAACAAATTGACAACCAAAGTCCTGACACAGTAGAATAATGAATTTTACACTTTCATCAATAAAAAGGGACTCATTAAACAAATGTCTGGACTCCCATAGAGCACTTTATTTCCTCTCAAATAGGCTGGGGCTGCAGGATATTAGGAAAGCCTTTCAATTTTACAATTACATCATGTTTTTCCCTCTAGAGTTCTCACCACTCCTCGTGAGCTCTTTAATAATGAAAAAATTATAATAACTTTAATAGAAGAAAAAGTATGTTTAATTTCTCAAATATACTGTAGAAATAGAAACAGTTTATAATAATACTTGACATGTAACATCAGACCACATCTGCGAGAAGGCCTTTGCAGACTGAGACTGACTCTAATCCTAAATTTTTTTGTTGTTTATGTGTTCCTTGAGAGTTTTTCTTTTACTCTTTCTAAAATGGTGGGGTTCGGATGAAAGAGTTTGCCCTGCTATCGGGGGGTTTTTGGTTGTTGAAAGCTCTGGCTTTCAGTGTTGTTTTGTCCTTGGACAAGACCCTTTACATGTATTGCCTACTGATGGTGGTCAGAGGGACTTGAGGCGCCAGTATACGGCAGACTCACTTCTGTCAGTGAGCCCCAGGGCAGCTGTGGTTACAATGTAGCTTGCCACCATCAGTGTGTGGGTGTGCATGAATGGATGAATGACTGAATGTAGTGTGAAGTGCTTTGGTTAAGTCCGACTTGAAAAAGCGCTGTATAAGTACAGGCCATTTATCCTTAACCCAATACACTGAATCCACTGTAATTGCACTATTGCACACACTGATAATGGGTTTATAATTTACCAGATTGTACAGCTCTAGTCCAACTCTGAATTAGGGCTGCAAAAATAGCTTGTAAAAATAGCTTCTTTTTTTTTTTTATTTAAAAGTTCCTTTAAACTAAACACAGGCATTTTTAGGGGTGTGGGAAAAAAATCGATTCGGCGATAGATTGTGATTTTCGGCTGCCAGATACAAAATCGATCTTTCAGTACCTAATATCGATTTTTTTTTTAAAACAAAACATTTTTACTGAAAAAACAATGAGGTGAAAATGGGCTACCTCTGCCCTGCCATTCTGGCACAGAGCCCTGTGGAGCCTTTGCTGACTCAAACCCCAAACAACATGGATACCAAAATAACAAAATGATCAATATCTTCTGATGAACATATACAGCACTTGGTCTTTCATCTATGCATTTAATTTTGTTAGCTGGGGAAAATATTCTAATATATAGTAATATTGCAATATTGTGAAATCGTATTGTGACCCAAGTATCGTGACGCGTATCGTATTGCTACACCCATGCCAAAACTCACCCCAAGACATTTTCATGTTTGTCTCCATGGTGTCATTGTTTTCATTACCTTGAATAAATAGGAAAGTCCTTCCTTCCAGCTAGTATGCTAGCTGCAACTCTTGCTTTCCTTCTGTTCAGCGGCAAACCAAATTTAAGCATATCACCGCCACCGAAAATGCATGGATTGAAAAAAATGGATTGCGCTTGTTTTTGGAAAATTGCTTTTTTTTTTATTATTCTGATATTGTTACAAATTACATTGATTGTTCAGCCAATGTTTAAATACTCCAAGATAAGTGATGAGATAAGACATGAACTTAAAACATAATTTAAATCGAAGAGATTGACATTACAGATATGGTCACCACAGCTACACTGCAAAAACGATCTAGAAATAAGTAAAAATGTCTTAAATAAAGTGTATTTACCCTTAATTTCAGTAGGTAAATGAGATAGATTGCCAATGGAATGAGTATTTATACTCTTAAAATAGGATAATTAGATAATATGCATTTGAAATAAGACAATTGTCTTGTTCCATTGGCAAACTGTCTGTTTTACCTCTTCAATTTAAGAACAGATGCACTTATTTCAAGACAAAATGACTTATCTAGATTTCCATTTTTTTTCCAGTTTAACAGTATGAGCAGGCAAGGCTTCAATTTGCCCCAAGCAAACTGGGGGAGCGACCAAAAAAATATAGTTCTTGAAAATGACTTTTTAAAGAAGGCTATAGATTAATAAAATAGAATTTGATCTAATTCATCTATTGGCAAATCTTTGAAGAATTCTTTGTTCAATCACCATTGGTGATCAAATGGTGATCACCTCTGGTTCAATCCGGATGTTATTCAAATAGGGTACAAAAAGAAAAATCAAGTATTAACAGAATTTATTAACAAAACTTAGAGAGAAGGATCTCA